CCCGCTCGGGCCCCCGCCGCAGAAGAAGAAGAACATCCCGCAACCGCGCAACCCGCTGAAATCCTTCAACTGGGCCAAGCTGGCCGAGGTGAGCGAGGCCTCCCGATGGCTCCTCGGGTGCGATGCGGCCGACGCCCACCGCCTCTGCTTTCCCCCCCTAGAATAAACTGGAGGGCACCGTTTGGACAGAGGTGGACGATGGCAGGGTTTTCCAAATTCTGGACCTGGAGGACATTGAAAAGACCTTTTCCGCCTACCAGCGACAACAGGTACCGGTCCCGCATTCACTTCTCGTCCATCCAAGATCTTTTGTTGGGGTCTCGTAAATCGAGCGCGCCTTTGTGCCCTTGAAACGTTGGCAAAATGGCCGCCGCTCACGCTCACACTCACGCCATCAGCTTTTGTCTTTGAGTGCCCGCCCACTTGCTCGCCTCTGCGCGTGCTTTTGATGTCCGGGCTGCCGCGGCATAACTGGCCGGACTGATTCTAACCAAGGCTTCCTCGTCTCCCCCCCCTGCTTCCCGGCTGCACTTTAGGACTCGTTTACGATCGCTAGCGGCAAACAGGTGAGTGCGCGGTCGCCCGCCAAGCCGCCGTCGTCGCTCTTTTCTGCCACTTGGTTCTGCGCTTGCCAGTTTATTCGCCGCTGCTCCTCCCGCCGCTTCCTTCGCCTTTGAAAGGGCATCGGCGGACGAAAGAGGAGGAAGTCTCGTGAAAACGTGGCCGCAAAGGTCGTCAAATTACCCTCTTGAGCTGTACCTAATATAGTGGCAAGGGATCCTTTAGGTCGGGGGGGGGAAATGCCCACTCGCTTGTCGGGGATGTTTGGGCCCGCGCCGAAAGGGAGCGTGTGAAGCCGCCGCCACCTTTTCCCGTGTGCCTTTGCAGAAGGAGGCCGAGGACGACGCGCCGGGCTCCAGAAAGGCGAAGGAGCTGTCGGTGATCGACGGCCGGCGAGCGCAAAACTGCAACATCCTCCTCTCCAGGTTAGCGTCTTGGCGGCGGTTGCCGCAGCGTTCGCGGCTCGATGCTCACAAATGACGGGCGGCGGGCGCGTGCGCTGCCGCAGGCTGAAGCTGTCCAAAGAGGAGATGAAGA